GCTGAGAGCAGTGGGGAAGCAGGGAACGGTGGCATCCAGGTAACACTTAAAAGTGCCCAAGTGGCTCAGATCCAACACCAAATATTTGCATAAAGGCTGGCGATGCTTCCTCTAAAAACACAAAGACAAAGGAAAATTCTTTATGCTAAGATGCCTGTTGTTTAGGCAAAGACCCTGAAATAGATAAGCTTTTCAGAGCATATTAACACAGTTTGGGGCTTTATTACCGATCCCACATTATGTTTAAACACAGTAAAGTGTTCAGTTCAGTGTGCTACAGCAGAAATTTTGGTTTTAATTCTACCCTTGCACTCCAGGTAAATTTGAGGCCAAAACAGTGATTCCATCATATTACTTACTTTTTTTAATGTATTTATTTTGAAAGAGAGAGAAAGAGAGCGAGAGAGAGAGAGTGCACACACGTGTGCAAGCTGGGAAGAGGAAGAGGGAACTGTCAGTGTAGAGCCTGATACAGAACTTGAACTCACAAACCATGAGATCATGACCTGAGCCAAAACTAAGAGACGCTTAAGTGACTGTGCCACACAGGTGCCCCCATCTTACCTATTTTTGTTGAATAAATATTGTTCCTGTTAAGAAATACTATTCACACATATACTATCAGATTCTATTTCAAAAGGCCATCTGGAGAGCATAAAGCTCATATATTTAAGCCAAAGAGAATTAGACTTTAGTCTATTTAGATGGCAAACGAGTCATCTGTTTTTACTGCACTGGTTTCTCTCAACAGTGTATAGAGAACACAATTGAGTGAAATAATTCTTGTTAGAAACCTCAAACACCAACACATTTTGGTATGTTATAAAAATCATGCCCTTGGTATTAAAGGAAAAAGGAAAATCTGTTCCACAAGTATTTACAAAAAAAAAAAAAAAAAAAAAAAAAAAAAAAAAAAAAAAAAATGAAATCTTCCCAATGACCTTTAAGTCCGGGATCTTGCATAAAAATACAAGAAAAACGATACTTCTACAAGCAGTCAATTTGTGTTTTCATCTGAAATGAACCATGCTGGAACCAGCCGCGGTGAACGGAGCGGGCAGATTTGTGTAGCAGACGTGGGCAGGGCAGACTTGGGAGAGCTGCTGGCTTCAGCTTAATACAGCTGGTTTCTCTACAGTTAAATACAACCTAACCTGGGGAAGGAAAATAAATGGAAGGAAAATTATGTAAAGGCAATACTTTGGTCTCAGTACTCAGCTCATGCTGTTATCGGTAAGGCAAGATTCAAGATATGGTGGACCCTGGCATTTAATTTGACCATTTGTGATACATCTGAAAGGAGTCCCTTTCTTCTACAGATTGCCCAGGTACAAATGTGAATGTCCCACAGGGCAGGACTGGTATGAGGGGGAAGGTTGAGTGCATGAGGAGAGCCCAGCAGCCAAGGGCCTCACTTCCCAATCTCAGTAAGGTGCTCTGTTCTCAGTAACACCATGAAGGGGAGGCTTTTCAGTTATGTTTTACTACACTTCATGGAGAAAATGATACTCCCAGGTAAATTTATGAATCTGGGGATTCATGGAGGACTCAGGAAGTATCCCTGATGAATGTCATGAGTCTATTCTATATCTAAGTATCTCTGAAACAATAGCAAAACAAAGTTCCTCAAATAGGATCTTCTCTGTGACTCCAAGTGGAAACTTAAAAAAAGAAATACTGCATTACTAAAAATGAGCAATCATGGGATAGGAAACCCAACTCTTTAAGTTTACACAAAGGAAGAATACCCAACCACCACATATTTCAAAATGAAGATGAGCCAAGTGACCTGAATATCCTGCATTTGTAGAGCTGAGATTTTACAGGTCACCTAAGCTCTCCGTCGTAAGATCTGAAATATCAGTCCTGTGTCCTCAAGAATACCTGATACTCAGAAGCCTGAGAGGTTACATCTCCCCAAAAACCACTGGCGGCCTTTGCTCCTGCCACTTTCATCTGTGAAGCCTGGAGGGTGCCAGGGCCACTCCAATGGTTTTACGGGGAGAGCACTCAGATTCCCCTTCCCCTGGGGATTGGGTGCTGGTTAAGATGAACGGCAGACACAGGGACCTGCAGAAATAACCTCTCGAACTGAGAAGAGCTCCATCTGGGGAATAACGCAGTTGACGGGTTCTCTAGCACTAAAATCTGCCTGCATCATAAGATGATAATTAGCTACAAAAAATATTTCCACTTTTGAGGTCAGGATGTTCAGCAACAAGCTTTAGTTTTTGTTGCAGAAATTAAATTCAACATGGAATCAAAATACATCCTGTTTTTTTCTTATATGGAATACTGTATAAAGAAATTAACACAAAACAATTTAACTTGTAAAACTCTGATGATTGTCCTGAAAGGGAAAGAAAATAGCATTAAGAGGGGAAGAAAGGGCCCTTCTCTAAACAATGATTTCCTAAGGCTCATCTTTCAAAATGTGGGCCAAATCATGCATTCTAGTTCACACACACCTTGGGGAGAGCCAGGTTTGGAATGTGTAGAACAAAGACTTTATTCAGAGATCTCTTGGATGTTTTTACTCCTCAGAAATGAAAGTAAGAGTCCACATGCTCTATTGTTTATTGAGATAAAGAGTAAAGCTCTACAAATCACTCTCCAAGATTAAGTGAGCAATTTTAGAAAAGACAGCTAGTTTTGTTGGTGGCGGTGGTAGTGGTGGTTTTTACTGAATTAGTTTTACATGGTATCCTAGTATTTCTGAACTAGTTAAGTGACAATGTTTTATGCAATAGATCAAAAGTTAGACTTAAGATAAACGACCTCCAGCTTTCTGGGGCGCCTGGGTGGCTCAGTTGGTTAAGCGTCTGACTTCGTCTCAGGTCGTGATCTCACAGTTTGCGGGTTCGAACCCTGTGTCAGGCTCTGTGCTGACAGCTCGGAGCCTGAAGCCCGCTTCGGATTCTGTGTCTCCCTGTCTCCCTGTCCCTCCCCTGCTCATGCTCAATCTCTGACTCTCTCAAAAATAAATAAACATTAAAAAAATTTTCAAAAACAAGCAAACACAAAAACCCTCCAGGTTTTCCGCTCCCAACGTGAAACAATCTATGACTACGAAAGCGTAGGTGGGGCCCATTTTCCTTGGCACTCTGTACCTGCTGGACCTGGTTTCCACTGCTTAGCTGAGCCAGACTCACGTTTTGGCTCCCACCTTCCTTCTGCCCCACACAGCTCCTAGAACAGACAGTTCTCCCCAACTCTGGGGATTCCTGATCCCTCTCCAGTGTGGGGGTCACAAAAATATTCGGAGATATGATCAAGACAAGCAGAAGTGTTGAGGAGAGGGCAGGGAACAGAAAAAAGTTGGCTTCTTCTAGCGGGCGACTAACAGCTTACTGAATTAAAACGGTCTCCTTCATTAGCATAGGTAATGCACAGTGCTATTATTTAGGATGTTTACAATCTTTTTTTTTTTTAATGTTTATTTATTTTGAGAGAGGGAGAGAGAGAATCTCAAGCAGGCTCTACGCTGTCAGCACGGAACCCTGTGGGGGTTTGATATCACAAACTATGAGATCATGACTGGAGCCAATATCAAAAGTCAGACGCTTAACCGACTGAGTCACCCAAGTGCTACTAAAATTTTTACAATCTTCATTAACAAAGTGACACAGACACCCAACCAAACATCTGCATTCTTTTGCTACTATCCTATCACTTCTCTCCAAGAGACAAAGACTATCAAAGATGACAATATGGTCAATGTCACCTCAATGCGTCTTCCAAGTTCTAGCCCATCATAGCCATTAAGCGTGCAGTGATGGTTTCTGTTGCTATCACATGGAGATGAAAGGGCAAAGCACAAATACCATGACTCAGAGCTGAATGCTCTGCTGGAACGTATCCCCTTTCACTCTCATGGCTTTGGAATGCTCCCATGCTTTGAAAGCCACCGGGGCATGCATCTGTTTCAATTCCTGATTTCTGGTAAACCATGGAAACACCTAAAGCTAGTGTCTGTGGGTCTGGTGCTCCTTAAATCTGGGGCAGACTCGGAGCAAACCTTTGAAGGTGCACTCACCGCCTCTCCAGGGGGCGCCCGTCACTGGAGATGCTTCGAGGGATGTTGGCGGCTCTTTCTGGAGGAGCCATCTTCCCGTCTCCTTTGCCAGCATTCAGCCTCGAGGTCATGGGGCTCTGCACCTGGGAGGGGACTTGAGCTGAGTGAGGCCCCTTGTTGGCATTCCTCTGCCATTTGTTATTATTTCGGAAGGGAAACTTGAATTCGTATGAAACCCCTTCGTTCATTTTGTATTCCATCACTGGCATGCGGTACGTTTCAGAGCAACTCCTATTAGGGACACAGAAAGAAGAAAAATTAATATTGCTTCTTTTTGTGGGTGGAACCACACTGATTCTCATTAACAGTTAAAATGGATCAAACACTTCATTCTTTGTTTCAAACTGTCTTTTAATCATCGGGCCCTATAATTACCGTCCTTTCAAAAACCAGAACCCCAGGAAGTACCACACGAGTGTATTTTCCTTTGCTGCATCTCAACTATTGAGTCTGAGAGAGGGAGTCTTAAAAAAACAGCGAGACCCACAGGCACCGGGGTGAGTGGAGGGGGTAGGTTAAGGGCAGAGTCAGGACCATGGCCTGAGCAGGAAATGCAGCCAGGCGGGCATGACTGGGCCTCAGAGGAAACAAGCAGCTTTGTGCACCCTTTATCGAGTGTCCTGAACTGGGGACCCAAAAAGGTACTGGATTTGTTGGGATCCTAGTAAGTGGGGTTACATTTTGAAACCCAAATTGAGAGCCAAGTTTAGCTCAGAAGGAGGGGGAAAAAATCACCAGGGAACAAAGCATGATCTGAAATCGGACTCCTTGCCCAGCAACCCAAAAGCCAGAAATGTCCCATAGCAGCACTGTCCCCAGATAGCAGCCTGAGTGAAATTAATGTCAGGCAAAAACGTCTTCTACTGCTTTAGCCCCTTTTTTGTGCTACCATCCCAACCCCCAAACCTTAGGAAATGTGGAACCCACTTTCCATTTCTTTTACCCAAACAGCCAAGGAAGGTTCAGTCCATTATTAATTTGATTGACAGACAAATTAACTGAAAAAAAACCTATGCCCACTGAAGCATTAACTCAAACTGAGCACTTGAATTTCACTACTAAGTGAAAAAAATGACTTTTCTGCTTAAAGGAATTTCAGAGATTGAGAAGCAAGTGGGGAGCCTGGGAAAGGAAGGGTTAAGAGTGATTACGAAACATTTTAGAGAAAGAGGAGAGTCCAAGCAGTTCTGCCCACTAGAGACATAATGCGAGCTGGTAGCCACGTGAGAAAAATAAAAGGGAACAGGTGAAATGAGTTTAATACTATATTTTTATTTAATCCGATATATCTAAGATGCTATCATTTGAACATGTAATCAACAAATATTAAGAAATTAACAATGAGATGTACATCCATCTAAATCTAGTGTGTATTTTACATGTTCAGCACTTCTCACTTTGGACTAGCCACGTTACAAGGGTCCCTTGGCCACAGGAGATGTGTGGCTCCTGACTGCATCACATGGGTCTGAAGGTTAGGTCTTGACTTGGGAAATGGGGTTGTATGGTGGGTGCATAAGCCAGTGGAAGGTGCTGCTCTCTTAGGACCTTGTCTGCATGTCTCAGGCATAATTTCTGGGTTTCTAACATGTACCCCACAATGCTCCCTTCTCCCACGTCCCCACGAGAGACACAACTTTTGAGAAGGGCTGCCTCTTCCTTT